AATAATAGGAGGTTGGAAAGTATGTGGTGTTACAGTTAGGATGATTCCCTCCATGATTTCTGGAATTGCTGATTTTAATAAAATAATTGTAATATTTGTCCCTTCTACGAGATTAAGCTCTGTTGAAATCATTATAACTGCTGACTAAGTTTCTTTATTTGTTCTAGTTGGAGCTGGGATATACTATTAGGCGTTAAGGATAGTTGCTCACCAATTTTATCTGAACTATCATATCAGAATAGTTGGAAAGTATGCTTTCCAATTTGTCAGTAATAATTGAACATAATAATATTATTCTGCTACTTGATTCCCCTTTTGAGAATGTAGAATCATCACTTATGCCATAGTGATATGTTATGAATTAGTTCATCAAGATGATAGTATTGTCATAGCTGAAGAGCATTTGTTTCTTCAGGTTGAGTGAGGATTATAATGGCCAGTTCAATCTTTTTCTCTCATGCAAGTGTGGTGGACTCAAAATATTTTTGAATCTCAGATGTCATTAATTCGGAGTTACTAGTATCAGTTTTGGTCATTTTATCATAGATTGTTACTTCTGGTCTCAATTTGATTAGAGTTGCATTACCTATTAATGAATCAAGATTAATAACTTGCATCTGTTCTTTTTCGATGAGAAGTAGTTAGTTCTTTGTGAATTTCATGGTGCTATCAAAACTATATTTTCATAATAGTCAAGTGAGTTGCAAGATAGAAGCCATGACTTCTTTATTTAGCCAGATATTATTGCTTATTATTTTGTTTTTTCTTTGGAATGGTAGAAAGATAAAGGGTGAGGTCATTTAAATAATATTTATTCTATGTGATCATTGATCAATATTATGATACTAATCATTCCATAATTAAGATATTGATATATGTTCCAGAAAATTCTGTTTTTCATAGTATTGTTTGAGCTGTATGCCATTAAAGAGTTTCTTGATTACTTGACCACATTGATTCTGTAGCTTGTAGATATTATTACCATACATCTCGTGAACATAGTATCACTTATTACTCTATTAGATTTTGAACTTATCTCCTTTTAGCATGTGTTGTATCATGTTATAGATTAACACTTTTTCACTAATATTGAATGCCAGTGTCTATTGAATTTTTCAATTATGCCATTCTTTCATTTTTTATTAGACTTCATATGCATTACTTCATGCAATTTGGATTTGATCAGGAAACTGATATATAATAGTAAAGATTCAGTTTTTCATAATTTCTTTTATATTTTTGATATTTATTGTGAGAGTTTCATATTGAAGTTCAATAGGTAGTCTTGCTTCATACCCATATGTCAAGAAAAATAGCTTGTATCTTGTACTAACATTTCTCAATATTCTATAGGTGAACAGAGTGGCAGGAATGTACACATTCCATTCAGTATCCAATTCAATGTAATATTTCTATAATATTGAACAAAGGGTTCAATTGTAATATTCGATAATACTGTTTGTTTGCAGATGATACGAGAAGGAGAATTTGTACTGTATGTTGAACTGTTTGATAAGTAATTTTATGATGGAGATGATAAATTCAGATCTGTTATCTGATTAGATTTCTTTAGGACAACCATGTTGACAAATTATATCTTTGAAAATAAATGTCATAATGTTACTGACTTTCTTGTCAGGTATTACTCAAGCTTCTGGTCATTTTGTAAGATAGTCAATAGCCATAACGATATACTAATTTTCATTTACTATTGGCTTACATGGCCTAATCAGATTGATTATGATTCAGTTAAATGGCATCCTAATTTTAATAGGTAAAAGAGGTTATTTGGTTTTTCATTCACCAGTTTGTTAACAGGTTTGACATGACTTTATAAAGTCACAGATATCACTTTTCATATCAGTCCACCAGTAATGAGTAGCAATATATTGATAAGTTCCTTCGTATGTGAAGTGTCCTGAAAGTAAGTCTTCATGCATGTAAGTCATAATAGCTTTTATTTCTGTGTTCTTCAGGACTTGTAGAGAGCTGCTTAGTTCTTTTCTTCTATTGATTTTATATAATAATCCTTCTTATATTATATAATATTTTACTTGATTCTTGATTCATTGTTATTATTTCTCTATGCATCTTACAGGATAACTTCCATTTTCCAGATAGCATAATAAGTTATTATAAGTATTTATCTCTATTATTTGTTTTTGTGAATAATTCAGTTGATTTGATTCATTTTTATTATTTAAATTTTGTTTTCTTGTCACTGTCTAATCATTTTGTTCAACTGCTCGGATTTATTCTCATTCCACTACTAATTTTGATTAATGCGAGAGAGCATATTGATATTTTGATTGAGTTTTCCAGGATGGTAAGAAACAGTTAATGTATATTCTAATATCATTATTATCCAATAGGAAACTCATGAATCAGGATTAACCTGCTTGGTGAACAGTCAATAGAGCACACTTTGATTAGTGATAATTTCAAAAAGAGTTCTAAGAAGATAATGTCAGAATTGTCTTACTTCCCAGATGATGACTAATACTTCCTTTTTCATTACACTGTAGCATTTTTCTCCTGCCTTAAGTAAAATACTAGCATAGGTAATTATGCATTCTCAATTCTGGTTATCCTTTTGCAACAATATTGCATCTAAGCCTGTATCTAAAGCATTTGTATATAAGTAAAACTTCTGAGAGAAATCTAGATACATTAAGATCGGTACTGAGATTAGTTATCTTTTGAGTTCTTTGAATGCTCTTTCTTATTTTCTTTTCTAGCTAAAATTAACATTATTCTTTAATAGGTGAAATAATAACGTGATAATCTGTGAAAAGCTCTTAACAAATTTTCGATAGTAACCTACTAATTCAAGAAATGAATAAAAAGAGTAAACTGTACGCAGTCACAGAAATTCTTGAATCTTCCTAACAGTGAATAGATCAGTCATAATGTCTTGATTGGTTACTACATGATCCAAGAATGATAGGTCTTTTCTTACAAGATTACATTTTTCTGCATTTAATTTTAGTCCTGCTTCTCTAATTCACTGAAAAACTTTTTGTAGGTATTGTAGGTATTCTTCGAAATTCTTGGAGTAAATATTGATATTATCAATATAAACTATTGTGAAGTTCTAATTATAATCTCCCAATATTGTATCTATCATCCATTGGAAAGTAGCAGGAGTATTACAGAGATCAAATGGCATCATATTAAACTTATAGAGATCTTCTCATGAAATGAAAGTGATCTTTATTATACTTGAGGCTTCTATCCTAATTTGCCAATATCTACTGATAAGATCAAGCGAAGAGAACTATTTTGCATTCCCCAAGTTTTTTAGCATTTTATTGATCCATGATAAGAGATACGCATCCTTCTTTATCACAATATTAATTCTTTGATAGTTTATACAAAAACATTTTTTTCCATTCTTCTTACTAACTACTATCACAGAAAAAGCCCATAGACTACTCGACTGTTAAATAATTCCTGCTTTTAATATTCGTTGTATCTCATCATGAATAAATTTCTGCTCTGGTAAAGTTGTCCTATATACTCTTTGTTGAATAGGACATATATCAGCTATATCGATCATATGTTGAACTAAATTAATTCTTCCTAATTTGGTCATATCAATAATAAACAGATTCTTATACATATTCAATAAATTCTGGAATAGCTTTATTTGCTATTGGTCTAACTTTTTTTATTCAATTACTTCATTACGGTCTTTTATCTTCAGGAGGTACGTCTTCAGTTCAACTTGTCCCATAGATCCGAAGCCAGCAGCCCCTCTACTAGATTTGTCTAATTTTTGTCATATCAAAACTACTTGAACACCATCAATATCTGTCAATTTCAGAAATATTACTTGGACTATCTATTTGTTAGGCTGAATTTGATATGAAAAAGTCAAATTGTTATAGATAAGTATACCTATATTTCCAGTATATCTAGCATCAATTGTTCCTTCTTTCACTCTATATCTTTCTTTACTAAGGATGATCATGATATTAATTGGCAGATGATTCCTACAGAAACTTCAAATGTAATAAAGAGGTCAATCAGAATAGTTTGACTTAATTTAATAGTGATAGTTTCTATTTTAGGATAGTAAAAGTCAAATTCTGCATCAGTTTCATGAGCGTGTTCTGGAATTCTTCCTTTATCATCATTAGTGTAAACTTTAATTAGGTAATTGGCTTCTTTTAATGTAGTATATTGATCATTTTCTCTTTCAATATGTCCTTCATCATTCCTGTAAGAGTTCATTTCTCATGTACAGTAGTCATTATTTGTTATCTTGTAGTTGTTATTTCTCACCTCATTATTTGTTTTACTAGAACACCCCTGTCTTGAATCAACTTCTTCTCTCATTTTGACTTCCATTTGAATTTCAATCTTCTCATTCTTTGACTCGATTTTGGTCTTTCCTTTGTTAGTATTCTGATTTGCTTTAAGAATTGGTATGGATTGTACACTATAATCATTATATTTCTCAGAGTTACAAGGAATTAAACATTTGGCATAGAGGTGAACATTGATGAATTCTAGCTGAGCTAATTGTAATTATCATTCTGGAGTTAGTTATTGATATATTGACATAAAGATTTCAGCTGCTGGAGCTTTTTTGGGTTCTTTGTAACTAATATATCCTAGTTCATCTTCAAAGTCATCTTCATTAACATAGTGAGATAGGATGATCTTTCTAATTTTATTACATTTCTGATATACCAAAGTAAGTATTCCTTCTTCACGTAACTTCCAAATTATTTTATTATTTTTCTTCCAGCCTTCATGATTGAACATATAAACACATTGTTCATAATAGGAGCAAAAATATTTGGTCAAGTAATAGCTTCTAACACTATATATTTCAGATGCAGTGATATGAATACCACACTGGAAGCATATAGATAAGTTTAGTTTTCTTATATTTACGCAGTCTTCATAGTATTCATTCTTGAATCCATCTTGCTCAATTACTATCATTATCCTTAAATTATCTACATAGTATTGACATTTATGACAGCATTTTACTCATTCATCCAGCTGAAGACAGATGAGAGCTAATTCTTTGATCAGAAACTTGGTTTTAATAATTAGAATTTTATCAGAAAGTTGCTGGTTTTCTATCTTGATTTACCAATCCTTATAAGAGCCCTTGTCTAGAAGAATAGAAAGATTATCAGGGACTCGAAGCTTTATATTAATCTATATAATTAATTTCTGATAGCATATTTGATATTTATGAGTTGAGTTTGAAAGTATACATCAACACTAATATTCAGCCAGGCCCTTCCAGTCAAACTTCTATTTTGAGTTGTAATATTTGATTTGGTCAAATTTTCTTTCCAAGCAGTCATATTTCTCCCAATTGATTATCTTATTATTAATTTGAATTCCTTTCTTATAGATACAGATGTCATCAACTTTTGGTATTCTCCTGGCAATATATCGGGATATTCTTCCAAAGTCAACTTCATCCATCATTCAGATAACTATTTATATCTGCGTCCAAGAGTTTTTGGCAGTCTAATAAAAAAAGTTCTGATCCTCTAGTTATTGTTCTTCAAATTCTTCATCACTATCAGTTGATTCATCATCGGAAAGTTCAGAGTCATCTGTATCAGATTTGAGATTTATAGGATTCCTTTGATCATAGATATACTAGATATTAATCTTTCCTTTTTGTCCATTTCATTCTAGCATCATAGCACCCTTTTTGATATTGATATTGGCATTTACTTTGTTTAGTAAGTTCATACCAAATACTATGCTGTAGATTTTGGCTTCCATGATGTCAACCTCTGCCAGAATTATGATTCCATCAATTATGATTGGAAACTCATCAATTACTTCTAATAACTACTTGATATAGCCATTTATATCTGTCATCATTATGTTTGATTTCTTTTGTATTTTTATATTTTATTTTTTTAGAAATTCGTGACTAACCACATATCCTAAGTCTTTAGTATCAATGATAAGGTCAATAAGTATATTCCCAACTTTGGCTTCACACCAAGCTGAGGTAGTTTTGATTCTTGCCTGGCTGGTTATTCCAGTCATCTTCCATATCATCTTCTTTTTGATAAGTTATCTCATTCCTTTGGATATCTTGATGCATTATTCTGGTGAAGTTTTAATTAATTGCATAATGGTAATATTAGCCTTTGCGATAGTGAAATCATCTAAGATATTGTAAGAAATAGCCTGGGAGACAAGTACTGATAATTCTGCTTTAGCCTTTCTCTTTTTCTTTTTGTCTTTTGGCTTGTTCTCAACTTGCTCAGATGCTATAAGTATTTTCTCAACTTGCTTGATCCCTTTGCTTACATCATTTTCTGGGGATTCTATCTTAGTTCATTTACATTTTCTGACCAAGTATTCATGTATCACCAAGAATGTTGAGTTCAATATACTATGAGTGTTATTTTCAGTATTGGTAGATGCCTGGATAACGTTAGTAAGCATCTGGATCTGTGAAAGAAGGGTATCAGTATTAATTAGTTGGACATTATTTGCTTTGGACACTTGTATTGTGGCAATATTATTTTGTTCAAAAGGATTATTACTATTAGTCATCAAGTTTGCATTATAGGTTAACTGTTGACTCTGTCAATTATTTGGGAGAATATCATTTGTGTTATGAGTGTTCTGGCAAAATTATTATATGTATCCAGTCTGATCACATCGATAACAGGTCAGTGAATTTCTGATACTTTGTTGATTTCTGTTTCTGTCATATGTTCTGGATTGATAAGTCATTTTCTTGATAGTTTCAACTTGTTCTAATCTATCAATTAAGCTTTGAAGAGTTTGATTCAATACATTAACATTAATGGATAGTACAACTTGGAGTTGGTAGTAAGTTTGCATTATTTCTTCAGTACTGACTTCTTTAATAGTCTTGGTCATCTCGATAATATTATCCCATATACCATCTAAGTTAATATTAATCCACTTTCTGATTTCAGATTTAAGTCTCCTTTTATATATTTGTGTACAGTAGTCTGCTGAATAATATCTATCAGGATCAACTTTTTTAAGTAACTGGATGAAACAATTAGTATATTCTTCTATATTTTCTTCTTGTTTTAATATTTTAAGTTCATTCTGCCATTATTCTACTTTTCGATTTGTCTAAAACTTTAGGATAAATTGATATTTGAAGTCGTATTCATCATACTGTTAATTTGTTCAAATATTCAGTCAAAAGTTAACATTAGCATGTCTCTGGTCAAATCAAGCAGTAGCAGTTTCTTCAAGATAATCTTATATAATTTAGATTTTTCTTTTATCTTAATTCCATTAGCACAAGCAGTAATTTTGAAATCCCTGATCCACTTGACTGGATCTTGATTTTTGCCTCAGAATTTCTGATTATTGGGCTAATTTGACATTCATGGCTTTGATAAGGTTGACAAGAACTTGAATCAAGTTATCCATATTATTTGCCATTTCATTTATTTCAGGTTCTTCATTTACTTCATTAACTTCAAGTTCTTCTTTGATTAGTAGGATGATTCATTCATAATCATCATCACAGTTTTCCAATTCCAATTCAATTTTTAAATGGTAGTTTATTAGAAAGAGTGTTAGTTTGATATGGTTGTGTCCACAGAGAGAGCATCATAAATGTCACAAGTGGATTGAAGTTTCATGGATTTAGAAAAATTTGTGTACTGTAACTATAGGTGGTAGAGAGTGATGAGACTAATATTACTAGTTGATCTAAATTCTATGCTAATATCTTTAGATATCATTTATTATGGTCACTTCAAAGATAATTATGAGGTAGAGTAAAGGAGAATTTGTATATTAATTATTAACTAATCTATTCTTTTTATTCCTGTGTTTTTTCTAGCTAAAAGTCTTAAATTCGGATCAATCAAATCATTCAATCAATAATGCATTTCGCCTTTTCTGGATTAAAGGATCTAACCAATTTGTTGTCTTTTCAGGTAGAAAGAACCTAATCAATATATTATCTTTTTTGGTGGAAAGAATCTAATCAACACGTCATCTTTTCTGGTAGAAAGAACCTAACTAACACATTAGAATTATGATTCTAATAAAATAATTTTTACAAGTGTTTTTCTTGGAGAAAAGGTAATGTACATAATTTTATTTTTTTATTTTATTTTTTTTTTCTCTTCCTTTTCTTAAAGACCCAAGAAATATTCATTTTATACATTATCTTTTGCTATATTAGAAGTGACATTATTCTAACTCTATATAATTTCTTTATTACATTAATAGGCTGAGCAATAGTAAAAGATAGCTAAAAGAAGAAGTGACATGATCTATTATATTGAAGAATGTGAACGATTATGCTAAAACATGCTAAAGAACATGAACAATTATGCTAAATGATTGTGCTAAAATATGTTGAAAGATCATCACGATATATAATATTGACAGATAATGTATTATGATCTACTGTATCAACAACATATGCCAGTAAATAAAAAAAATAAAAAAAATAGAGATTATGAATATGATGCTGGATAATGCTAAATAATAGGAGGTCAGAAAGTATATGATGTTGCAGTTAGGATAATTCTCTTCATGATTTCTGGAATTGCTGATTTTAACAAAATAATTATTACACTAGGAGAATATAATTAGAATTTTGGCAATATATATATTAATAATCTAAATATATTCTCAAAAGATTTTGAAGAATACTTGGATCATCTCAATAAAGTATTTTGCAGAATTAGAAATATCAATTTGAAACTCAATCCAGAAAAATGTAACTTTTGCAGAAGAGAATTACTATTTCTTGGATATGTCATAATTGAAAAAGAAATTTCTTCTGATCTATCAACTATTTAGAAAATACAAGACTTTTTTCAATCAAGAACTATTAAAGAACTTTAATCATTTCTTGAATTAGCTAAATATTATAGAAAATTTATTAAAGAATTTTCTCAAATTACTATACCTCTATTCAAATTACTTCATAATAAAGAATTATTTATTTGGACTGTAAATCAAGAAGAAGCTTTTCAACAAATTAAATAATATCTTACAACTGCACCTATTTTGATTTATCCTAACTTTACAAAAAAATTCTATTTTTATACTAATATCTCAGACTCAGAACTTGGAACTGTCCTATCTCAAAAAGATAAAGATAGAAGAGAACAAGTAGTCACTTATATAAGTGTTACTTTAAAATCAAATAAACAAAAATATGAAGTAACTGAAAAAGAAGTATTAGTAATAGTATGAGCTGTTAGATAATTTTGTTATTATCTACTTAAAATAGTTTTTGAAATTATTACTGATCATATATCTTGAGATGATTATTTAAAAATCAATCAAGTTATTCTGCTAGAGTAAACTACTAGATTATATCTCTTATAAAATATATCTTTATTATTACTTATCAATCTGAAAGAAAGAATCAAAATATTAATGCATTATCTCAGATATATTTGAAAGATCATTAAATAATTTTTCTCTTTATAATAATAATATAAATTTAATAACTTACTACAACTTACAATAATATTTAGATAATAAAACTTATTCTTTAGGATCAA